TCTTTTTTTCATAACTTGTATTTAATCATCTAAAGCATCGGATTTTATTTCGTTTTTTTAAACGGGAAAAAACCTGACAGAGAGAGAGCTGCGAAAATGGAACCTGGAAGACAACACGGGTAGAGCTCAAATGGGGTTCCAGGCAGAAGGCAACAGTGATTTGGTAAGAAAATTAGAGGAAAATTGAGAATGATGTGGATCCCATACCCGCTTTGCCATGGCGCCCCATTTTTCTGTTGTTTTAGATCGTAAAAAGTACAGAGTATGTGACTGTCCCGTCCCTTCTACTTGATTTCAAAGTAATGAAAGTATTTCCAACTTCATTGTCTTTGGAGACCATTGTCTTTGGATAAATCCCGTCCCTTGCGATCATCTTCCGTTTGATAAATCTGCGCTAGAAAGCAGTACAAGACATCCTGGTGTTGTGGTTGGAGACCATTGTCTTTGGCTGGATTGGGGTTGCAAAGGAAACTCTTTGATTGGACTTGATCTAGTTAATGGCAGGTATTTTAGAATTGACCTGCGTTCTGAGAGGCTCCTGCCCGTACCAAGTTTCGCTATTTATACCCCTCTCTTGCTTCATCTGGGTGATGGAAAGTTGTGTCTGGTCTGGAGAGACAACACTCTTTATCGTGACTACTTTCCTACTAAAAAGCATAACTTGTGTTTACATATTTATACCTTGCTTGATTTTAAGCCTCCTCTAAAGAGGAACCTATTGCAGTTTACTTTAAATCTCAACTTGGAATCAGTACATGAATTGTTGTTTGTGGTTTCTCTCGAAATGGTGCACCACACAAAAAGCCCCTTCAGTTTTCCTCTTCACCCCCTTAGTCACACCATGAATGACATCAAGGTTGACATCGCGAATGTTTGCAGAAGACACAACTCATTAATTTTCTGGTATTATTTGCCTTGGCGGACCAAAGTCAACACACGGATCGGACCTTTTTGTTTGCAAGGAAGGAAATAAACAACAGAGTACAATATAATTTGGCTTTTTTTCTTTTTGTTTTCTTTCAAATCCTTAAACATATGCCACTTAAGCGACTATTGGGCCATAAGGCCCAAATTTAGAAACAAAAAAACCTGAATTGGGTTGGATAAAGAAATAAAAGGAACGTAATACTCCCTTGGTCTACAAATAAACTTTTTCGTCCACCATTCACAGAGTCAAATTTAATTTATTTTGTTGGACTATTTTCGTCACCCATTTAATAAAATAATATAGTCATGTTACTATTAGTTTTGTAATCTTTTGATATACCTTTTTAATATGTATTTTTTATTTTTAAATTTTACACCATTTTGCATTGAAAATAACTTAAGTCAAATATGGGTGGAGGGAGGGGAGAGTAAATTAATTGATGGGAGTAATTTTTATTCATCGGGAGCATAGAACCCTAATCCGGGAGAGACAGTCACTGTAGCAGCAAAACAGAGCAGCAGCAAAGAAGAAGAAGAAGAAAGGATATGGTGGTGGAATCAAAGCAGTGCGTGGTGTTTGGTATTTGGAGGGGGAATCGGTCGGGATATGACTGGTATGGTTTCGACAGTTTATTCAGTCCGGTGGAAGCCCTGAAAGGCAGTTATGATCCCGAGGACGATTGTGGTTATGATTCTGATGATGTTGGTCACATCTTCTTTGAGTTTGATATATTCAATCGTGTGAAGCTTGAAGACGACTCGTCAATCGCCAAACCACTAGTAACACTGGATGGTACTCGTCGGGATTCCACAATTGGTTCTTGGGGCGGTTGCGTGTTTCGTGTGGGTGGAAGCTACTACACGGAGCAGGAGACGAAGGAGATCAATAGGTGCCCAGATGACCCCAGAAGGAAACGGTTGGGTCTGTACACCAATCTGGTTGATTACTGGAATCCAGCTGAACAAGGTAGTCAGTGGAAGCCTCACTCTCGGATGAATCAGGCAAGGTCTTGCTGTAAGGTTCTAGCTCTGGGGCAACGTATGTATGTCGCCGGTGGTGCTATTATTTATTCAGACAACAACAACAAGAAGAAGAAGAAGAAGAAGAATAAGGCGATGATATTTATGGAAGAGTTTGAGTCGGAGGAAAGGGGTTGGGTTGGTGTTGAAAATCCTCCAGAGGATTCTCATCTTATGGAGGCTTGGGGAATGGTGTGTGCGGCGTGGGAAGGTGAGGGTAAGTTATTATTTGGTTCAGACGCTTGTACACACTTTTATGCATATAAGCCAGCTTCTTCTTCTTGGGAGCGTTGCGATCATCTTCCGTTTGATAAATCTGCGCTAGAAAGCAGTACAAGACATCCTGGCGTTGTGGTTGGAGACCATTGTCTTTGGCTGGATTGGGGTTGCAAAGGAAACTCTTTGATTGGACTTGATCTAGTTAATGGCAGGTATTTTAGAATTGACCTGCGTTCTGAGAGGCTCCTGCCCGTACCAAGTTTCGCTATTTATACCCCTCTCTTGCTTCATCTGGGTGATGGAAAGTTGTGTCTGGTCTGGAGAGACAACACTCTGTATCGTGTACAAGGAGGACATGAGGAAGAAAGCAGCAGTAGCAGCAGTAGTGATGATGATAG